TTTTCAATTTATCCTTTTGCAATTTCCTATATTCTTATAGTTTGGTTAGATATATAATAATGATAACCTGCTGGCAATAATATAGTAAACTAGAAAAGTTTTTATTCAAAGATATTGTGAAAAGAAATATTGTTCTCAAGACTGAACTTAGAGACTTTTATGCTTATGATGGATTAGTATAATAGTTTGGATATAGTGTATATCATGTTGCTTGAATAAAAATGTACATATATTTTTAATTGATTAATAAACTGACAATCTAGTCTAACTATGGAAAAAAATATTATTATTAAAATATAAATAAAAAAAATACAATATATTAAGTTTTTACACTAATTAAAAAATTATTAATATTATTATTTTAATCAAATTATAAATTCAAGTTTTATAAATAAAAGATATAAGATAAAATTTTTTAATTATAAATTAAATATAATAAGTTTTAAATAATATATAGTTCTAGTAATTAATAAATAAGTTTTTTAAATGATTTAAAACTAAAAAATATTTTAATCAAGTAGATTTTTTTTTTAAAAAAAAAATTATTTACATAAATAAAAATCTTTTGAAAATTTTTAAAAAATATATAAATATAGTATTTTTTTTTTGGTTTATTAATTTAAAATTCATTAATTTTTAAGATAATTTACAATAATAAACTGTTAACAATAATTTTAATAAATAGAAGTTTAATATCAATATATCAGATAAATGAAATATTATTTTCTAAATCTAAATTTAAAGTATTTAATTCAAACTTTATTTTGTTTAATTTAAGGATTTCGTATATTTTTTATGTAATATAATTCTTAACTAATAATATATAAAAATCCATACAATATTAAATGTTTTTCAAAGTCTTAATACACCGTAAAAGCAAGCCATGATAATATGTAATAATTTTTAAATTAGTTATAAATGCCTATAACAAGTTTATTAGATTTGATTAAGAAAATGTACGATCTGGCCTGGCTGCGGGTATTACAAAAAAATCGTGAATTATTATAGTTTAATATACAGTATAAAAATTTTTTTCGAAAAAAAAAAAAATATGTGAACATTAAATAATATTATATCTCGAATAATTTGTACATGCATGTTGTAGATTTTTTATAGCACAAGCTAATTTACAGTTTCAGTCGGAACTTTTCGTTGAGCAAAAAATTTACTAATCATATCTTTTTTGTTTGTCATTTCAAGTCTCCCATTTTTCAAAGCACCGGCAAATGATAAACCTCGTTTAATTGTTCTAATTATTTGTAACGCGAACTGCATATTTGAAAATTCACTGCCGAAAGTTATAGGAAAACTTCAACTTTTCTATCATCACATTCTTTCATTTGGTTTCCTGATTTCTTGCTTCCAAGATTCTAGTCGTAATTTAAAAGTTTCGAGTGATATCGGTCTGGAAAAACAAAATAGATCAATAAAAAAACTTTCACACAAAAGTCTAATGATAGTGGGCAATTACTTTGTCAAAAACTCGTTGAAGCCGGTCTCCTGTCAGTTACGAAAATTAATTTATTTATACGCATAAATTTTTCAATATATATATTTATGTGAATTCATACCGCCTTCTTAAATTCTTCCTAATATTTAGAATAAAAAAAAAAAAAATAAGTATCGTGTCAGAAATAATTTGTGGCGGCTGTCCCAAAATACCGGTTTAATAAACCAGAAATTTTTCTTACATTAGATGCAAGGCCTGTCATTGCAATAATCAAAGCTTTCCCGCGTTGTTTTCTCATATAGTCAACCCCATCATCGTTGGTTCTTATGTGCTTACCATCTTCAATTTCGCGGATCTATTTTTAATTTGTTTATTAATTTATTTTTACAAAAAAAGAAAAAAGTCCTTCGTTCTGGCAGAAATTTCTTTTAAAAAAACAATACATACTTCTCTTGTTGCTTGAAACTAATCATGTAATATATATAATGACAAGATGTCATTTGTATAACTCAAGTATTCGCAAGAATATAAACATTTTCAGAACTTACCCCATCACATATCGGCATTTGAAGGTCCATAAATATGATATCATAAAATTTCTCGTAAAACTTTTCAACCGCTGTCACATGAGGAGATGAGTGTTTGTGAATCGTTTATTGTAAATGTTCTTCACGATGAATGAATATAAGACAACACCTTCACGGCCATTAACTGCGACATCATAATTATTATGTCCAGCTTGTGTTAACATCTTCTTTAGAATCATGGCATTGATTGAATTATCCTATGACAATGCAAATTAAGATAGCCATAAAAAGGTAAACGATTAATGACGAAATTCTTTTATCATTACCTCAACAATCAGAAATGACAAATCTTCGTTTCTCAATTCTTCCACATAATTATTATCAACATTTCTTTCGGGTTCCTCAAAAATTTTCAACTCATTACAACCCTTATGCAAGATCTATGTGATGGTGGGAAACAATATAATTCACTTCGTCTTATAATCGATTAGAAAATTTTAACTATCTCCTTTGGAAAAATGACATACATAGGCGTAATGCCAATCTCTGAAAAGAAACATTTGGACTTCGACATTTACGTAGCGATAAATCCGTTACGCAGATTTGTCAAAGGAGATGCTGAGGTTCTGAGACAGGTCATTATAAATGTGCGTAAGCCTTTATCAATCGTTTTTTACTTTGATTATTCCTGTGATTTAAATTATTCTTTTTTTTTTCCTTAAAATACGACTCTTCTTTAGCTGCTAGATAATGCGGTATCTATTGATATATCTGTTATTATGGTTGTGCCGTTTTTCAGAAAGGAATTTTATTATTAAATTTTATTTTTAAACTAGATTAAATTCACTGAAAAAGGTCGAATCGAATTGATCATCACAGAGCTAACTGAGAAAGAAGGTC